AACAAGTAAGTATTAAGGTACCATAATATTTAATAAAATAATGCTATTAGCCTGCACAACTGCCTGGTTCTGAAAACGGGATTCTGTGAATCATATTTTCTACTATTAAATGCAACATATCTCTACCGATTTGTGCCACATAAAGTATTATTCAGTCCTTCAAAGTTACAGAAGTCAACATGTTCTTGGTAAACCAAGTTTTTTAGATGATGATATGCTGCATTCTGCATTGGAAAATATGGTTCTTAGAATCCAGTTTTTGGACATGTGCAAGGACAATATGTTGAATTGTATTTATAATTGAGTCAGAATAAAAACTATTGTCAGCTGTTACCTTTTTGTTTTCTTTTACTATGTCTTATATATTCCATGCACAGTGCCATTATTCTGTGAGATCCGAATAGACCCTGGGATTAATTAATAATTTAATTTAAGGTAAAAGTATGAAGAAAAATATTCTTTAATTTTTGGTGTGAAAATATCGTTTTTCTAACGTGGGAAATGGATAAAAAGTCACTTCCTTTAACGGAAGTTGAAACATCCTTCTGTTTTACACTTATCTACCCAAAATCTCAACACTCTGGGAATTGTCGACCCCTTGATAAATCCCCTCTTCCTCTATTCACGTGAGAAAATCCTAAAAGCTAATTGGATGAAAATCAGGAGATATATTCAGAGTTTTGCATGATTCGGGGAGTACGTCAGGAGATCTCATAGAGGAAGGAGGTATCCCATATTTGCTCCTTAAGGCCAACGCCCTTAGTTAGGAGGACGCATGAAGATCTCATAGAAGAGAGACGTATTCCATACTTATACCTAAAGCCAACACCTTAGTCGTATCCCGCATGAATGCAATAATGAGTTAAGTTAATAAGAGAAGAAGGAAATTTAAAATGATGTGCTATTCAAGACCTACCAATGTAGAGACTGAAGTATAATCATATAATACAGAAGAAGATAAAGTAATTGGAGGTAGTATGATTATCTATAGAATTTGTGAGCTCTCTCTCTCAATCGCATAATCTCTCATTCGCTTAATTTTAATTATTGAATTATTCCATTTTTGTGTAATTTTGTTTACTTTTGGTTTTATTAAATTCTTGTTTTTATTTGTTAAGAAATGTCTCTCAAGTGTCTGAATCAAATCCGTGTTATAATCTTCACACGCGTGTTAATCCGCGTATCTAAATTCGATTAACTGGTGTCAAGGATCCTGAAGTAGATCTAGACTTCACAGTCCAGATCCTTTTTAACATTAACACTCTCCTATAAAAAGTATAGAGACTGAATCTCATGATTCAGAATCGTGTAAGTGGTACCCATTCTTAGGATTGTACCCCCAATTAGTCTCAATTCCTCTAATGGCAAAAATCTGAGGTAAAAACTTTTATTACAGAAATTGAAATCCTATGCTTTACGTTTCTAAATTTGACATTTATAACACTAGTAAGTTCTTTATTGAGTTCCAGCATTGAATGATCCGACATCATGTTTTGTAGAAAAAAGAAAGAAACATTTGCATTGAGAGGGTGCTTTTCATGATGGCTGACTTAAGTAAGGAGAAGGCGACAATTATGGATGTTTTGCTAAATAACTAAAGTAACTCACTTAAACATTATTCGAATAAACCCCTTTATTTGAATGAACTCTTACCTATATCAAATTCTTCTATACTGAGTCTTTTTACAATAATTTGAATTTATTGAATATTTATATATATATTGAATATTTTGGACAAATTCATGGAGGTAGTTTGTCTCTGAAAAAAAAAGTATAATATTTCAATATTGACCAAATTATTTAACATAATCATGCAATCATGTTTTATTTTATATAGACCATTGTGGCTTTGTTAAGCCATGTTTCTTCTGTCTTTCCTTTCTCTTCATTACTTGAGACCACGTCTTATGGAAAAACCCCACTTCCGGCCTTTGTTTACTTAACTACGATGTGGTTGGTTAAACCATGTGTCCGATCTGTGTTAGACAATAGGGACTGACGCTTGATTGGTCAAGGGGGTGACGGACAAGGTGGACAAAAAGGAGGTCCGAACAGGAAGAGAATCAGTTCAGGACGAGACCGTGTGGAGCAAGGACATGTTAGAACAAGCTAGGAAGGAAAGAAGTCGTCACGTGGAGGATCTGAGGTTTTTTTTCTTTTGACCGACCAGTCACCCCTTTATTCTCCATTCTTTATGATTTTTCGTTTTCCATCTTTCTCTAAATTTTTGGGCCCTAGGTTTAAAGTAATTAGTTAAGTTAGATTTAAACTAGACTAAGATTCTATTGTCGGCTGAACGTGGGATCCACGTGTTGTGTCGGGACGAGAGTTCAGACCTAGTATTGTACAACCTAGTTTTAAGTATCAGTATTTGCCTATTTGGAGTCTGGAATTTTTGTTAATAAATTATATCAAAGCCGAATTATCCTTTGGGAGTCAATTATTTATTGTTCGGCCACACCATTCATTAATCTGACCACTATTACAGTGTCCACAGCAAGAGTGAATTAATAGTTTCTATAAGCAAAATTTATTGGTTTTATGGAAGCCACCATGTTAGTTTGTTGAATACTTATCGGTCTTTCAGATTGTTGAGATTGTTGAACTTAATGGTGAACCAACGCTGATGTTACAGGTTTCAATGGACAACTAAACAGTTTATTGTTTTCTCACCATTGAACCAATTGTTGAATATAGAAACATACCCATGGTCTGAATAGTTTGTACATCAATTTTGGTTGAGTTTGGCTGAACAGATTTTGTACACCTGAGCTTGAAACATCTCTACTTTAATTAAGGCCACCCTGTAATTTAGATTGAGAAGCAATTCAATTCTGGTTGAGTTAATAAAAATTGTTGAAAATTATTTTGCTGATTTTTAAAAATTTTAATGAATTTTAAAGATTCTGAACTATTTTGATGCAAATTAATGAAATTTATAAAGTATTTTATTATTTATCAGCTGGAACATTATTTTACTTGATTGGTTTAAATTACGAGGGGGAACCCAAAAAAACTGGACTGAGAGCACGCTGTCATTTGTAGATGTAGTAGCGAGTTCTCCCATTACATAGGGTTAGTAGAGACCTTCACGAAACAGCTGTGTAAATGGCATAAGTTTGTAGGTTTATGTTTAAGCATAGTGTTGTGTTTCTCTTACTGTTATTTTGTTCCATCTGCAAAGTTCTGGGCATCCTTCAACATCTCGAAACAATGAAAATGTTGAAAAAAATCTGCCAAAAAAGTGTTAAGACGTCTGTGAGAGGATGTACAAAGGAAATGCCCAGAGCTTTGGCGAGCAGGTGACTGGTTCCTTCATCACGACAACACCCCCGCACACAGGCCTTACGAGTGACCCACTATTTGGCCTCTCAGGGATGGCCTGTCATTCCCCACCCTCTGTATTCACCAGACCTAGCCCCTTGCAACCTTTTTCTGTTTCCGAGAATGAAGAAAAATCTAAAAGGGAAGCGTTTTGATGATGTGGAGGTGATAAAAACAGCTTTGCTAAAGGCACTGGACAATATCAAGGTTGAAGAGTTTCAGAGATGCTTCAAACAGTGGGGAAAAAGACTTTACAAGTGCATTGCATCTAATGGAGAGTACTTTGAAGGTGACTGAAGAAATTTTGTAAAAAATTAATAAAGTTTTTATACAAAAAATCCAGTTTTTTCTGGGTCCCCCCACGTATTTTATTTATTCCAGACTAAATATAGGAAAACATTTCTATTAAATTCACACTTTATGTTATTACTGTATATTGTTCTCCACATTTGCAATGCTTCTTCTTACCTATTTTAACAGAGAAAAAGAAAATTGTCAAGATATAATTCGTTTTTATTTAAGAAGGGGCAAATAAATCTTTTAAGTTCTGAACTCCCTTTGGAAGATCAAGTAGATTTATTACCTTATGATCCACGATGGGAGTTTCCCAAAGATCGTTTGAAACTTGGTATAGTAATTTATTTTGTAATACTTTATAATTAAATGAATTTAATAAACACAGTTTTAACACAAAAAGCAATATTTTAATAATAACAGACAAAATAATTAACATTAAACACAAGTCATCTGAAAATTAATTGACCCATCATGAAAATTTTTAAAAAATAAACCAGTAGAAACAAAAATAAACTGAATGCTTTAGCTTATAGAGCAACTTAAAAAGTTTTTTAGATTGGCAACAATGTCATTCCCAGCATTCATTGAGAGAAAATAGTGACACCAGCAGAAAAGATAATGTATGTTCTTCAGTTGTGAGAAACCAAGAGTCCAGTGACTGTTATGAGATGTTTTAGGCATAAATTCAATGAGTAACTTATGACAAAACAATCAATGAAACAATGGTTACAGCATTTTCAGATGACAAGAATAGTACTTCACCAAGCAAGGGCAAGTAGGCCAAAAACTTCAATTGTCAAGATTGATAGTGTTCAGACATTTTTTTGGTGAAGTCCATGAAAATCTATCATCTTACAAGTCTGAAACTGCAGATTCCAAGAATTATGGTCCAAAGTGTTGTCCTGAGAGGCTGAAGCTACATATATTCAAACTGTAGATTTTTCAGAAGCTCCTGCCAGATGACAGATTGAAGTGAATGGCATTTGTTGTTACCATACAATATACTATGGAACAGGATAATCCACTTCACAGATGAGTTAATTTGCAGTAATGAAGCCACTCATTGTTGTCTGGTCTTATGACTTTTGTCCCCATTGTTTTGATCTCGAATATAGCAGAATATATTGAGTCTGGGTGAATGTTATTCGATTTATGTACAATTCTATTAGAACAAAATGATGGTTTTAATAACAACTAAGGATCAGTGCCAACTATCAGTATGGCTTACAAGGTACAAATGTGCTACAGTTTAGTGATGACACGATGTAGTTCTAATGACAAACATTAAATTATAAACTTATTACTAAAATACTAAACTAATTCTCATTAAATCTACATACAATTATTTACAAGACAATAAACACATGCTGCCACAACCTTCCTTTGTTCTTCTATTAGATGAACTTCCAAATCTCCAATCGTCAGACAACATGACTCTCCACTAATGCACCTTCTATATGTAGATATATTTCATATATATTATATATATATCATACATTTACAATATCAATATTACTTGGGTCAGTTAACTATAAACTCTCTGTACATGCACACCACAAAGCTGTTGATGATAAGTTCTTAAGGATGGAAATGGATTACAATATAGTACCTCCACTCAATGTATTCATTCCTTGGCTGACTCTTCTATCTCCTGCTACCAGACGAACAATATCGGACCGTGAAGCAAAACCAACAAAGATCCTTCAACACATGAGACGGTCCAATTTATACTCCCCCTCATTCATGAATACTCTCTTAATACATGACCTCGTTCTTGACCAATTAGTCTACACCAGTTGGTGTAGCAAGACAAGTGATACAACATAATATTCTGTGGACAATTATACTAAAAGTAGATCCCGACACGTGGTAATGGAAGATCATTTATATATACAAATTATATTAATATCTAAGCATACATAAACAACAATACTAAAGTAGTGCAGCACTACACCTTTATAGGACTTTTTCAAATGGTATGGGACTTTGGAGCCTACTATTAGAAATCTAGGAAAATTTAGTAGTTCAATTACATTAAGATAAAGTGAGTAATATGAGAAATAGTATTCAGATACTATGAAAAAAATGTTTTTAAATCCATACTTGTATTACAGATATAGAGTAATTATGTAATCATGAAAACAATTCCATAAAATTATTTTCAAAAATAATTAACAAAAGCTTAAGGCATGATTAATTCCTAGCTAAAATCATAAACAGCAGCAAAATTTTTGCATTTTTTTAAAATAAGATAAATTTCAGGAAATAGGATGCTTGTTCAAATCTAAGACTTTTCTTATGACATTTTGGGACAAAGCTAAAATGTTCATGGCAACACTGAAGCCGCTTTTTACATGTCAGGGAAAATTAACTGACACAATTGCTGTATTTGCCCGTATGCCTTCCAGGAACATGAACATGATTGCCTCAAAGTCAATGTGAAGTGTGCACTGACTGCTGATGAAAGTATATTATCCATTTTTCTTTGCTGAAAACACTGACTGTTTCCAATTACTTGATACGTTTCAGTTATTTTATACTCTGCAACTGAAAGAAATGCAGCCTGATGCCATCTTTCAGTAGATAGGTAACCTCACACTACTCAATTGATACAATTTTCCCCAATTAGTGGATAGGTAAGAGGTCCAATTGCATGACATCCTCATTTGCCAGATCTGACATCCCTGGATTTTTTCCTGTGGGGTTATATCAGGGATAGAATGTTTGCAAAGGTGTCCAACATGGAGGACTGAAGGCATGGATTATGCAGAATCTATTGGCTATTTCAGTTAACATGATTTAAAACACATGTTCAAGTAGAGACTAAATGTTCAGTCCACTAACAGTGCCCATTAAGTATATGCATGAATTGTTCTATTAGCTACAGCAATCAGTTTTTTATTTCTACTAGTTTATTTTTTATGAATTTTCATAATGGAGTGGATGAATAATTCTTGGATACCTTGTATATGAAAAAGTACTTCTGGAGATTTATTTTGGCTTTATCAGTTTTTATTGAATGAAATATTGATAGAAGAATATTCCAAAAAACATTATTTAAATTTTTATATATATAAGCATTAATTAACATATATAAAGAATATTTTGGACTATAAAGAATATTTATAACAGTACAGATTAAAATTGTATAGCTTCAAACAAATAAAACATAATATAAAAGTTATAAATTTAAGTAGCATAGAACTTGTAAAACTGGATGCAAATATGTCATAAAAACAACTAATACCACAAATGTCAAGTAACAACATAATTTTACTAACCAAAATAGCATTTTCAACTATTTTTAAATGATCATCTTTAGGTTCAACTTTCAACTAAATATGTTCGATTTGGAATACAAAATAGAAAATAAAATCTTAAAACAGGAAGAACAAATGTTTCATTGGATGATGCAATGTGAGTCACTGTGGATGCAATTATCTAAACCTTTTTTTTAAGGCATTTCAAAAAAGCACTTCCAAGTATATGATATGATTTCAGCATCTTTATAATTAATGGCTGTGTTCTTTGTAGAAGCTTTGTAAATTTCTAGCTTCTCAAGGTGTTTGAGATGGGTCCAGTCTCTAAGTGGATGTAAGATGTGAGTTTCTATACAAACATCTCCATTTATTTAATAATTAGCATAAAACTAGCCCGATAGATTTTCGGCAGTCTGTTGATGTGAGTTTCGTTGAGTAAGACTTGGATGTTATTTTAAGAAGCAAAAGCAGCTAGAGCAACAGTAAGTTGGCCCTTTTTGATGGCATTCTCATATTCTGATTTGAATCAATTGATTCAAATCAAAAAGCATATTTCAAAATCAAGGAAAATCGAAATTGTATATGAGGCAACGTAATGTATGCCTCATATACAATTTCTATAACCTGAGGACACATGAAGTGGAAGGACGAGCTGAAAGAGTTTTTGACATGGAAAGATGATGATAGGTGACACTGTCCAGAACCTGTGAGACAGAAGAACATTACTTGAGAAGGGAAACTTTGAACTTTCTTGGCCAAAGATAAAACGTTGAAGTCAGAATTTCACTTGGCTAGTCCAAATGAGTGGCCAGCTATAAGGATCATATATACAAAATCCCTTAATAATCAAGGAAAAAAAGAAACAGAAGCAAGAATTTGGTGTTTAAGAAGCCCCACATGGCCCTCGTTAACTGAACAACGTTTTCACTACCTAGGTATTCTTCACCATTCTACCTAGGTATCCTATTCACCATTTTTGCTACTTCTCACTTCCTACTTTCTATTTCCTTCTAGTTATAAATTAGGATTAAGATTTAATGTTAAGGAAAATTTGTGTAATTATTGTTGGGTTCTTTTTCTTCTAGTCAATAATTTTTAATTGTTCTATCAACCACCAGATTTTGGATGACTGTAAATCAAAATCCCTTGAGTTGGAATTCCTTTGTTTCTGTACTTTATTTTCCATATATTTTGTATCAGCTGGATAGAGAAGTGGACAGCTTGTCTACTGCACGGCGATCCTTTTATGAAAGTTCATTTTATTAAGGAACATTTATTCATCTATTTTTACTTTTTATTGTTTATTTTATTTCTGTAGTTATTTATTTATTAATTTCAATTATGATTTCGGTTATTTGTTTTGTAAAAGCCTCTCATAGCACATGGTCTGCGGGCTGAACAAAGAAGAACAGTTAAAACTATGAATAATTGGCATCACGGCGTGGTTTTATAAACAAAGATTTATTGGGAACAAATTCACGACTAATGAAACAATACGTGATACAAAGTTTAATCACAGTACAATGATATTCTTACTCTGATTATCCCTCTCCTGACCTTCTTTCCTTATGTGAAGCCCTCCTTTTTTCTGATTAGACCGTACAAAAAAAGGGAAACAATAACGCTAAGGTAATATCAAATACACAGTTGGGGAAACAAGTATACAATACTGTAGTACATACAAGATTTCCCTTTGGACCAAAAAAATTTGTTGGTCATGCAACTCTATAATTAGTCCTTTACCCTGTTTGAATGCGATCTTTTTCCTTCTCAACATATTTTCTCGATGAAAATAGATTCCCTTTTCTATCCAAAATTTCTTCAATTCCTGGATGACTGGTTCTCTTGTACCTGTATTGTCCCAGTCCTCACAAGCTGCGGTGTCCTCCAGTTTTTTTCATTTGTGGGATTTCTTCATATGTGACACATATGAAGAAATCCCACAAACGAAAAAAAGCCTCTTCATTTTCTTCTTCTTCTTCAATCCAGTTTATATGGAGATTCTAGCCTGTTGGCCTTTTCTCCAAACCTCTTCGTGTCATTAACCCTTGTTTTTATACCTCCCACTAACGGATGTTGCTCCATTCCATGTGACTGCACTTTGGGCCAATCACCACATCACACATTCTGCCAGCAGAGAAATGGAAGTACCAAAGACGGAAACGGAGAGGGATTTGCTGAAAAAAAAAAAAAAAAGACATGCGACAAATAGAAATCAAACAAAATAAAAATAAAAAGAGGGAAAAAATATAATATACACTAATAGCCACGAAGCACTACAATTTATTTATTTATTTTAGAATGCTTGTTATTGTTTATTTTTAAATTTTTGTATTTACATTCTATTTTATCGTAACTGAAGAAGATCAGTTAAACTGATTGAAAAACGTTATTATTTATTAAACTTCATTGCTGAATTTTTTAGAGGTATGGTTTTTTTACTTTATTATCATGCAAATTAAATTCTTTTTTTATATTCTACCTTGCATTTGTTGTTTTTTCTGGATGTTTGCCTTTGTCAGACAATGAAGCCCTTTCTTAATTATCACAGTTCATATAAAGTGCCAGCACTATAATTACTCTATGTTGGCAACTGTTCTAGAAGCAAGGATGACAAAAATCAGTTTTGCTTCATGTGCAAGTTATCATCAAGCCAGGACTGTTTACAAGCTGACCACATACAGTGGTTAAACAAAATAATTTGAACATCAACAAAAGATCATTTTTTGTTCATTAATAAAGGTATGATTCTCTTTTGCAGTTAATTCAGCTGAAATACATTAAAGAATAGACAAATATAAGTCAGGAACAACATTAATGTTAATTTTGTACCATTCTTCAATCAATACTGATGCTAATTCCATGAAGGAAGTAGGTGATGAAAATCTGCTCCTTTTTTCTCAAGAATGCCCCACATAAGTTCAATAATATTTAAGTCAGGAGATTAGGGTGGCCAAAGTAGATGCTTAAGTTAACTTTCATGCTCCTTGAACCAAGATTGAATGCATCCAGCAATGTGGATAGGAGCATTGTCATCCTGAAAGACTGCATCACCATCTGGAAACAAAGTTTGGATCATGAGATGGAGTTGGTCATTCAGAATATGCAGATACCTCTAATCTCTAGGCCCTTCAAGAATTCTTATCAGACCCAACATGCTTCAGTTTTGATTTTTGACCACAGCTGCTTCTGTTGGCAGATGTTTTGTCTGTCTTTACAGATGTGATCTAGGAAACAATAATCTCACTATACCCAGCAACTCAGGCCACAGAAGTCTCTACTAGGTATGTACCAACAATCATTTCCCTTTGGACGTCTGTTAGATCTAACATAATCATGTCCCAAAACTAGGCAAAAATAATGAAGTTTATCATCAATGATATGTTATGAAAATGAGAAGAAAAGTAGATGGTATCTATGATTGCACATGTTTCAATTTGAGTGGCAAAAGGAGCTGTTCAAATTATTTTGTCCAACCTATGTAGTTGTAATGACAAGAGGCAATAAAGTACTAATCAGATGTTAAGAGTTGTAAGTTTTGTTTGAAGTTACAGATATCCACCTACTTCTGGAGTGATAAGCAGGTTTATGGTGATTTTCTAACTGAATGATCTACCATATTTTTCACTTTACAAGATGCACTCTTTTGTACCTAAAATTTATCTGAGAATTAGGATATGTTCTATAAGTTGAATGCATCTTATACTGTAAAGAATATTTTCCCCAAAAAAGCAGCATAAAAAATGTAATGTTTTTAATACAATGCTGTGTCTTATAAGGTGAAAAATATGGTATTTTGATTGTGCAAGTGATTGTAATGTGTAAACACATGAAAAGAATAACTTACATTAAGTGCGAACATATAATAAAGTTTTTATTTTTTATTTATTTTTTTATTTTTTTCTGCAGTTTAAAAGGTGGATAAAAATGATAAGGTGTAAAGAATTTCTTTGTGTTTTTAATTGTAAAAGTGTCAGAACCTACAAGAAAAGGCTGACACTTGATCTTTTTTAACCTTGTGAAGTTTTTTACCAATGTTTAAGAAGAGTTCTTCAAAGCAATTTTTTTTAAGATTGTTACTTCTGTGGTAGTGTATAAGGGATAAAGATGGACTTAAAAGTTAATTTGACTTTTTGTAAATAGTCTAAACTTCAATTATGAAGAAAATACATATTTTTATTTTTTATTTTTTTTTATTTCTATAAGAAAAGTTGGATTGTGCACATGATCTTTGAACCTTGAATTTTTTTAACTAAAATGATTTAAAATTTTTCTGTAAATAATGAATAAATTTTAAGCAGAATATTTTATTATTTTAATTTTATTAAGGACGCATTCTTGGCCATGGAGCCTTTGGAAGAGTTGTGAAAGCAGAAGCTATAGGTTTAAGAAAAGATGTTCCTTATACAACTGTTGCTGTGAAAATGTTGAAAGGTAATATCTTAAAAATGCAGAATAGATTTAGATGTCAATCTAACTATTAATACTCACATTAAAATACAATGTTTTAAAATAATTTAATAAGTTAGTGATGCAAGAGTAATTAATAACTCTATTGTTTTTTATTGTATGCACAAAAATTTGCTTTCAAGAACAATAAATTTATTGTTTCAGATAGTAGTATTATGTAGTAGATTACTACATAATACTACATAATAGGTAACATAGACAAACATTAAAACATAGATTATGTTTTAATGTTTGTCTATGTTACCTATTCTATTCCTAAATTTTAATAGGTAAAAATGATATAAATATATATTCGAAATCTGTTCATACATCACAACAAAGAATTATATCAATATATTCTCTATCAACTGGATGAATAGACAAGAAAAACACACCTTTAAATTTATTTGCTGGATTTTTAAAGGTGTGTTTAAAAATTATGTTTATAAGTCATTATATCATAACATTGTAGTTAGTTCTTGACACACAATATTAGAATATTTTTTTCATGATAAGCTATCTATATATATATATATTTATGGCTACTGTATTTAGTTATAATAAAATGAATACAGTTAATCATTTACCAGTTTGTTAATCATTATGAATATTTGTGCTAAATAGTAATCAATAGCAAAGGATGTCCACAAAGTGTCTGAGCAATTTAAAATGTATTAGAAATAATACAAATAGAGAAATTACTCTGTACTGTTTGTTACATACAAATAAATGTTATAAAAGTTTTTTTACATAATTTAGAAAACTTCCACACTAGCACAGTTTGTTGCATGAAGCATAGTATTCTTGTCAACTAGTCCTCTGTATAAACACACACCCTATCTTCATGAACTTCTTATATTATTCATAAATAATCAAATATGATACTGAATTTTTGAATTTCTGAAAGTTGAATCTGTGTATCTGATTTTCTTTAAGTAAACCAGGTTACACACTTCCTTTTCTTGAGGGATAATCAATTAGTAGTTTCAATAGTTAGTATTATTAGTTTGTATATCACTTATCTGAAACAGAAAAAAATATTAAAACTATGATAAAAACACTTTGGGATCATAATTATTTATTTTTTTACATTCTTTGGGATTTATATAATTTTGGGAGTGAGTATAGGGAAGTGTGTTCTCTATGCCCATACTCACTCCTAAAATTACACAACACATATCCTTGATCAACCACCTAAATTGTTCTAAGGAATGATATTCAACAAGAGTATTTAATATTATTTATTTTATTAATTATCAATACATTTATAGTGTACAAATCAGCGGCATAAACAGTATGGTTTGCTATGCAACACTTCTGAAACAAAATGAATCCTTCTGTTCTCCAAGGGTTGAGATCATAGCATTATGTGATGTTCTTGTAAACATCCCTTGTGACTGTATGCCATATATCTGTTTTTGTCTTTTTGTTCTTCTTACATTTTTTTCCTGTTCTTTGTTCTTTCTCCCTTCTAGAATTTTCTAATCTTATTAATTCTTCCTTCTTGGAGGTGAGAGCCACTTCCTGGAATAACTAGTATAATGAGTGAGAGGTTACCTGAGAGCATATGAGAGGAAGAAGGGTCACTTTTGAGCTGGTGCTCAAAGAGAGAGGATGAACTGAAAGCAAGTCTGTGGAATAGTCTGATACCTGAGTATGCAGGTGAAGTCATAACTTTGAGAGGGAATGTTAGGAATTCCTGTGCCAAAGTTAGTATACTGGATTTGGTATCGAACTTGATTAGTTGTGATCTTCTAGTAAGTAACCAACAGCTTAGTTATAATAGCCCTCAAGAACTGAAGAGAAAGAGAAAAAGTGTGATATTGGTGTAAGAAGTTCCATATGGCCCCTCAAGATAATGAGGACTGAAAGATGTTTGTAGGACCCTGGTATCTTTGTTCTGTCCTATTTGCCATTTTTACTACTACTCACCCCTATTCTCATTTTTCCATATTAGTGTAAGTTTAGTATTAAGGATTAGTTATAAGAATTTTATTTTTGTAATAATTATTCTTGTTTACTGTTAGAATTATCACAGTTTGGTGTGTCATTGTCATTTTTAATTTTGTAATTCATCTATAGCAATCAGGTTTCAGGTTACTTCCAGAGTAACCATCCTACAGTTGGCATCCTTTATTGAACCTATATATAGTTACATCATGCATAAATAAAATAATTTTTCTCATATCTATTGCATGTTTAGTTTGTTGGGTGTTTGTCTTAGTGAGCTAAAGAAAACTCTTTCATATCTCATACCCACCTTCTTATAATGCATGTGATGACTATCTGTATATCCATTAATCCATATTTGTGTTACATAATTTATGGACAGCCCCTTTTTTGTGTGATAAACTTCACAGATTATCTCCTCATTTGTATTTTAAAATTGTTTGGAGATTTTGTGAATCTTGTATATAATAATTTAAATTAAAACTAAAATATAGAATTTTTTGTTTCAGAAAGAGATGATGAAACCCAACATAAAGCTCTTATGGCAGAACTGAAGATTCTTATTCATCTTGGAAAGCATGTAAATATTCTGAATTTGCTTGGTGCAGTTACCAAAAATTTTCATAAAGGTAAGTAAAAATTTCAAATTTTACAACAATAATCTTTTAAACTACTTTCTATTAATTTATTTTGCATTTAAAAATCATTAGGAGAATTAATGGTGATGGTAGAATATTGTTGCCATGGTAACTTAAGAAGTTATTTATTACGACGTCGAGAAAAATTTATCAATCAACTTGATCCTATAACTGAAAAACTGAATGCAGATATTTGTGTTCAAGTGTCAAATTCTCCTAATCCAAATCAATCAAAATCAAAAGAATATACAAAACCATTAGCACTTGGTGTTAATAATCCAATTTATAATTACAGGTAAAATTTAATTTGAGATTTTTGCATTATTATATCTTAACAAAATTGATAACAAGGATATATTATATCATTTAAATAGTAGTACTGGTGAACTGATTAGGTGTAGTGGTGTGAATAGTCAAGGAGAAATTGGTACTGACATGACTACAGTCAGCAGTATTTCAGGTGGTGAAAACAGTAGTAACACTGCAATAAGTGAATCTGGATATAGTAGCACTGGTGGAAGTTCTCAGATGTATGCAGGGCGGGAGGAGAATCGATATTCTGGAATCATTTCTACTTCAGATCTGTTGTGTTACAGTTTTCAATGTGCACAAGGAATGAGCTATCTTTCTTCTAAGAAGGTAATGAAAAGCTTTGAAATTGCTCTACAAAATAAATAATATCTTGCAATGATCAAATTAATTAAATTTTATAATAATTGAAAGATTTTTAGTTAATTAATTAGATTAAATATAAAAGTAATTTGATATGCTATACTAATGAAAATAATTTGAATTTGCATATTCCATATATTAGCCAGTGTACAAGGTGTGTTCAAAAAGTATCGGACCTTTGGTCGGCAAAAATACATTTATTGATTTTGAGGTACAAAACCCTAATCCCCTTCAAAGTAGTCTCCTTGGTAATGTATACACTTCTCCCAGCGTTCCTGCCATTGCTGGAAACACTGCTGGAACGCATCTTTTGGAATGGCCATCAGCCGGTCCATCGCATTCAGCATGATGTCTTCTCTCGACTAAATTCGGGTTCCTTTTAGCGGCATTTTCAGCTTGGGAAATAGCCAAAGGTCACACGGAGCCATGTGGGGAGAGTACGGAGCGTGACGAACCACAGGAGTATTGTGTTTGGCGACGAAAGCCCGAATCAGATGCGCAGAATGGGCGGATGCGTTATCACGATGGAGCTGCCAAGTTTTGATCGACCACAGATCCGGTCGTTTGCGTCGCACTGTATCGGAAAGACGACGAAGGACCTCCTGGTAGTACTCCTTTGCGATGGTTTGGCCTTGTGGTGCGTACTCACGACACACCACCCCACGAGAGTCGAAAAAACTGTCAACATGACCTTTGATATTGCTGCGGACCTGCCGCGCTTTTTTTGGCCTCGAGGATCGTCCCCGAAAGCCTGCTGAATCTTGCGAATGGTTTACACTCGGGTATCGCCAAGGTTTTTGGCAAAATTTGATGTAATATCGCTGCTCACGTTGTTCAGTCATTTTCCAGCTTAGTGGAATCCGACGAGAGCGCACTACATGACCTCACTCATAGGCCGATTGCCAACGACTGACGCTTCCTGCAGGCGGGAAAAAATTCAGGGCTGTGCATGACTGTCCCCTCCACAACTCCACCGAAGGAGGCCTCTCGTGCATCATTGGTTTACGCGGAAAAAAAAAGGTCCGATACTTTTTGAACAGACCTTGTATTATCTATGAAAACAACACAAATATCAAAGATTAAAAAATTTATAATCCTTACCATTGATCAATTTAATATGCTAAAAAAACACATCAAGGATTTATTATTCAACATGTTAAAACACATTTGCAATTTACAAAACTTCTGTTTTGTTATTCACCAGAAAAGATATCAATTTTTGTGATAACTCAGGATGTACTTTCTTCATAATTGAAGAGTTCTTCAAAGCAATTTTTTTAAGACTGTTACTTCTGTGGTAGTGTATAAGGGATAAAGATGGACTCAAAAGTTAATTTGACTTTTTGTAAATAGTCTAAACTTCAATTATGGAGAAAAGATATCATTTAACATGAGGTTAAGACTCTGTCTGGCCACACACTTTAAGCTTAGTTCATACAAAGAACAAATCATTGGTGAAAAGTTAATAGAGCAAATGTTGCTTTTACAGAAAAGATATCACTGTTATCATGTTAAATGCACTAAAAAATATATACAATATATATACATATTTTAATATGGAAATGTGACACAAAACAATGCAAATGTAAACAATGTCCTGAGTGCAACTTGAACAGGTGTTAGTATCTAAATCAATGTCAGACCAGAGAAATTGAACTTTGGCTCTGATTCATATAAAAATGACAGAAATTACTTGAATTGGGAAAACTGAACAATTTAATAAAAGAAAAATGTCCCATGTTGTAGTTAAAATTCCTAGATGTCAGAATGAGAATTATAACAATCTAAAATATAAATACAGGTTTTAAAGTTCCATCAACATCTCCCAGTCGAGATATGGTGTCAAGTTGAATACCAAAGATAGACCCTTCTTGTGACCTGATCTGATCTTATTTCCACCTAGAAACAAAGGAAGTGAACCAATTGGGAATCAGTGAGAGGGAATCAGAATCAATTAGAGCATGGAAATCAGAGATAAAATCCTTTAAAATCCCTGAATTTCAAGAACAATTGGCAGATTTCCCTCCCAAGTTTGTAAGGTGACACTGTGCATCTTTTTTTCTGTGCTTGTATCCTGCTATTGTCATTGCTGTCATTGAAGCACTGTTGTATCTGCCTTCACTGAATCACAGGCATTATCACCCATTCTCAGACTAAAATTAGATGCTTACTGTGCAAAAACAAAAAAAAAAGTGAACATAGCTGTAGAAATTCTATGGACGCTTCACATCACTGGCAAAAAAATTAAATAATTAAATAAATTTTGACTTAAAATCATGTATTTTTTATGATGTTATTCATAAATGTTTAAATAATCATTATTGTAATAAAATAATTTCAACTCAAAACATAGAAAATGTGTAAGGTAACCTGAACTTAATATTACTCATCATACTTAATGTTCCAAATGTCATTGTCAAACTTCTATGTTTCCAAAAAGGCAGCACTAGACATTCAAAGTTCTTGTTTTAGGCATGAAAACCTTGGCTGCAACCTCTCTGTTGTAATACTGGGATATCATAAAGACATTATTATTCACTTAAAAGCACAAAGCAGAAGTGAGCTAAGAGCTAACATGTTATGTAATGCCAAAAATCACTGATTCTTTTTTCAAATTATTTTATTGGTCTCATTGATAGATAGATTAAGGAGTTACATAGCATGTAGAATTATTTTTTAGAAACAAACAATAAATATAGATAATGTTCTTAAATATGTGTTTGGTAAATGTAAAGCATGAAAATACAAAAGTTCAAATTAACTTGATTTATTTTCAGTAACTTTACTCATCAAAAAATAGCTACCATATTAGCAAAACTTCTATTTATATTAATCATTATTAAAAATTTTAACTCTACTTTAGAACCTTGGTAAATATTTAAAGCTATTCAGAAATAAAAATAGATAACACAATATCAGCTTTAAATATCAGATTGTGAAAGTTATTGATATTTTGATTTACAGTGTATTGATGATATTTGTATGCTCATTGAAGAATGATACTGAGATGTTACTTCATCCATTGTAGAAGAAATGAAAAAATTCCTAGTTATTTTTGTTTTAGAATGTTTTAAGGCAATAAAAATATGTGAGAATCCAGGGGCTGTCTTTCTATAATTTTTTTATAAGACACATCTTAGAAACCCTTCTTTATTTCTGTCCATTTCCCACAGAGTTTAAAACAGGGAAAATATTGAAGGTTGACTTAACTGTCAACAGTCAACTATTCAAAGTAACAAGTCTTTTCTTTCTCGCATTGACCCACGAAAATAACAAAATTATGAGTTATGTTAAAACAATCAATTGTAAAGTGTGAGAAAGTTGACACAACTTAGTCCATGGGGAAAATCTAAAAACAATCGAAAGAAATACTAAACCTTCTAATTGACTTTGTTTACTTTTCATCGTCCGGTGATGACACCTTTGACGTGTCATTGCTACCAAACAAATGGCCATCTGATCAGATTCCCACACTTAATATGGATATAACATGAGCGCACCCGGTCTTTGGGGCAATCAGTGCCAAAGGAATTTTCCCTTTGTCTTGTGAAGTGTGTAGGTGACTCCCAGCACATATTCCCATGGTTCCCCAGATATTCGCTCCATACTGATTGCCCATCCAACAGACCATATTGCCAATCCAATACAACCGGATCGGGAACCAACAGCCAGTGTATGAGGTAGAGTACTTTTCAATTATGCTTATAAACTCTCTCTCTCAATTAAAAGTAGATAGTATGAAGGAATGATATCCCAAGCACCTTGCAAGAGCCATATATATGCTTAACAAGTAGCTGTGTGTTTGGTAGTAGCTGTATATTGTAATCTAAGTTTTAGATATATATATATTAAATTTGTTATTTTGTTAAACATGGCATTGACTCAATTATTCGGAATTTGGACCCCTATCGACTTGCCCACGGCTCCTCCCCACTCGATATTTAAAGCCCTCCAATAATCGCTATAAGCATGAAAATCATGAGTTAAGATGTGTTATTTCTTAACTGGTGTCAGTCCTGACAAGAGTGGGAAATTTTATGATTTTCCCATCTCCAACTGTAAACAAGCCATCCAGTGACAATGTGAGCAGATCTCGCCAATCAAAGGGGTTTAGAGGTTAACACTCTACCCTCGGCTTCTCACAAATAGATAAAAGTTAATTATATTCTGGATTAATTTAATTTTTAATAAAATATGAATATATTAATTAGTAAACATATATTAATGTAATATGGTTATTTTATATTAATAGCTTATCCATCGTGATCTTGCTGCACGTAACATCCTGTTGGCTGAAGGAAACATAATTAAAATAGCTGATTTTGGATTGGCAAAAGATCTTTATAAATATTCTAAATATGTTAAAAAATCTGATGTAAGTTGACAAATTTATTTTCATTTCTTATTTAATAAAAACAAATTGTGCTTTTAGTTCATACTAAATTACTAACTCTATATAACAAAATACAGAAACTGGAGGGAATATCAGAAAATAAGTTTACCCCTTAGAAATCAACTCCAGCAAAAAATTTAATGAAACAAAAAGTTTTCAACCTAATTTGATAGGTCTTCATTTTTTTTATTATTACTAACTGTAGGAAATGGATAACAATTATTTGTGATAACAATTAAATGTTTTTTTATCTCATTATTTTTTGTTTATTACACTTAATTTAGAGATATTATTTAGTTATTAGCAATAAACTTTTCATATTCTGTACATCAAAATTCAAAACTTTTAGATGAACAGTTCTCTTCTAGACTAATGTCATCATTCTTGAGACCTAGTCATCTCAAATAAATGTATCTTTAATTAAATTTAAGTAAGTTTAAAATATAACAAGCAATATTATGTGCTTTTTTAGAACATGCAAGAACTATTATTATTTTTAATTTTTCATCTATAAATTTATTCTTGATACCTTAAAAAACATTATATAAAATATCAAATTAAAAACATTATTTAGAATATTCTTTCTTATAATCCTAGGACTAGAGAACTTTTTTATCATGTTTTTTTCTGATTATTCATATTGAAAAGAGAGCAAGACCTCTAATTAACTCTTCTATTACTTTTATTTAGCAATGCATTTCAGATTGAGAAAATAAACTTTATCAATCCCTTCTCAGGCTACAAATTTTAAAAAGAGGAATACATTAATATTTCTTTAAAAAAAGTTAAACCATGATTTAACAAAGATAAGAACAAAACTCATGATACATTAATCCAACAGTTTTGATATTTTGCTATCCCACTTTGCATTTACAATATTTTTTATAGTTTACTATGAGGTCATAAAAAACATCATCAATCTCCATTCCATTATTTAAATTAATACTATTTTTACAATGAATTATCACATGTTCTTTAAATCTTCTCAAATATAAATCTTTCTCTCTATACAAGATTTTTATATTATTTCTATCAATAATGCAGTTATCTTTTCACAATGTATTGTTTATGGAGACTGGCAATACAGTATTTTTATCTTATGGCCTCATTGTGTTCTTTCAATCATGCTTTCAATGGCCTTTTAGTCTCTTCTATAAAATATACTTTTTTTTTCACAAGTACAGTTTAACCTGTAAACCACTCCTGAATAAAGTCATGCTGAAAAAAGTATTTAAGGTGTTGTTTAAGTTAAGGAATATATAAATTATTTGTTAAGGGACATGATAAAAAAAGCCATTATTCCCAGGATTATAAGAAAAAATTATTTTTGATAAATGGCCTTTTTTTGTATTATATATTTAGGGTCCTTTACCAATAAAATGGATGGCTATAGAATCAATAAAGGATAGAATATTCACAACAAAGAGTGATGTGTAAGAATTTTATTCTTTAAAACATAGTCTCAAAATGATATTAATTGGTTAATCTTTACTTTGGATCTCATTTTCATTTCTGTAGCTGGTCATTTGGTGTTCTTCTGTGGGAAATTTTCACACTTGGTGGCAATCCATATCCAGGATTTGAGATGAATGAACAGTTTTTTAAGAGACTAAAAGAAGGCTACAGAATGGAAAGACCTGAATATGCTCCAAAAAATGTGTAAGTGATAATTGCTCGATAATTTTGTTATAGATAATATAATGAAATAATATTGATCTTATGCATAGTTATGAAATAATGATGGAATGCTGGCATGAAGATCCTAAAGAACGTCCAGAATTTAACACTCTAGGAGAAAAACTTGGACTTATGTTAGAAGAAAGTGTGAAACAAGTAAGTATTTTTACTAAATATTGATATATTGTTAAATATGTGATTTAAGAAGAAATTTTAGTAGTTTACTTATTAAAACTTTCATAATTTGCAAAATTATGAAGGTTTTAATAAGTAAATTACATACATTTGCAAATTATGAAATAAACAAATCAAGATTAAAAATTGAAAACATTTTTAGATAAAATTATTGATTATTGTTGTTAATTTCTATTTCATAATACTAAATAACTAAAAGCTTTATAATATAAATTCCTAACATTTAATATCTCACTATAATTGGATACAGTAAAAATTATATTATATACCCAAACACCAGCAAATATCTTTTAGTTTGTATGGAGAAAAAATGGTTTTGGTAATCCAAGCTACCATTGTCAGGTTTCAAACTTCAAACAACTTCTCAGATATAATGTTTTCTTTTCTTTCAAAATTTGGAACATCACATGTGTTAGAAACATTATCATAGATGTTGCTCACTGATTGCTCATTAAATAGTATCCCCATATGCTGGATTTCCATCAAGGCTCTCCATGCCAGGAAGATACTAACATTTGATGCTCTAAAACAGGGCTTCTTAAACTATGGGTCGCAACCCCATTTGGGGTCGCGAGATTTTAATTCAAAATTTGAAAATAATTTGTCAGAGTTTGAAAAATGGCATGCTTTGTGTTGGTTTCGTGAGTTGTGCTTTGTGTCACTTCTGGTGCAGTGAGACAACGATTCAGCAACACTGTAGTGTGAACTAGTGTAGTGTTGTCACTTTTCAGTGTATTCAGTTGTCTCTGTTCCATGGTAACACAAGAGTGAACTGTGATAGTACACCATTATTGTTTTTGCAAATTTGTATATATCTTTATTTTATATTTTTTTAGGTTGTGAACAAAATCACAATTATAAATGGGGTCGTGAATAAAAACAGTTTAAGAAGCCCTGCTCTAAAAAGTTCAGTTTTTACTAGATGCAAAATATGTGATTTTTCTGCCATTAGTTGTAATAGCCTTACTTGATCGAGATGGGTGTTTCTAATGCTAGGGTGGAAAGAGTAGATGGTGGTTTGCCTTTTTTTTTAAAGGACTTTAAGTGCTCTTGGAGGTGTTGGAATAATGGTCTTGTTGTAGCCCTAATGTATTGTAGTGTCTTGCCCATTCTTTGATCCATTAAAGGGATGGTATATATGTCTGAAAGAGTGGTTCTTACGAGGGAGTTCTTTTGTTTCTAAGTAACATGTATGTAGTAAGACTACTTTTGACTACTAAGGAAACATTGTTAACATTGGCAATTTCTCTGTAGTATAGTCTAATAATTTGTTATAGGTTATTCTCCTAAAATTCAGGGGTGCTGCTTTTTATACTGGTGATTGAGCTTGGAATGTCTTGATGAAGTTCTTTATGAGGCTCTTTTTATTAATTAATCATCTAAATCCTGCTATTTTAAATTTGAATGGGTCATGTGAATGCACTGGTGTCAGTATTAGTAGGTATTATGGTTTCCTATGTACTGTAGTATATAATGTTGGAATAAATTATTGAAATTATTGTTAAATGCTATAGCACATCATTACATACAACGCATTGTGTCATGGTGATATTTTATAAACGTTTTTCTGTTACGTAATAAAAGGTTGGTAGCACTGTTGACCCCTTGGGGAGCCATTAGAGATGGTGACCTCATTTCACTCTCTCCCTTTTCGCCAACCTTCTGTGAGTCAAGACAGCATAATCTTTGTGTATTCTTTGTTTCTTTGTTACATAACCAGTTATGTGAGTTCAACCAGTTTTTACTAATCTCTGAAAAGCAACATCAAGTCTAACATGTAAGCTCTGCTCTTCTTTTCTTATCTTAATATCAAAAAAATGTACTTCTGAATGAAGTGCCTGCTCTAGACTCGATATCAGGCCATATGGGTTGTTGTTGTAGGTCATATAGCACTATTTGCATGTTTGGTTTACTTTTCCAAATTATGAGGATATTGTCTTCCTATATAAGAAACCACAACTATGAGCACAACTGACTATTCAGTGAGTAACATCTAATATGTTAATGTTTCCAATGCATGTGATGTTTCAAATTTTGAAAGAAAGAAAGCATTTGGTCTGAGAAGTTGTTCAAAGTTTAAAAAATGAACATAGATAGACAGATGAGGGTGGCTTAGACCATCAATAATGTTTCTTCACCATACAAACTAACAGATATTTGCTGGAGTTTGGATATGTAATATATTTATACAATTTCTTTTTTTAAAATATTCAAAAGACTAGTTATATTAATATTTCAAAATATGACAGATAAAAACTATATTTTCTTTTGACTTATTCAAAATTTCAGATATTGATATATCATAGAATCCGAGTAAATACTTTGTGCTATTTATTTTGATTCCTGAATAACAATGTCTCAAAACTAATTTTAAATATTAAATGAAAAGCACTGATATTTTGATTAATATTGATGGTATCATTCTCAAAGAAAATATAGCTAACTATTATGCCTTTTTGTCCTTTTTTTTTATAACTCTTTTTAAAATTTATTTTGTATTACTAGTACAATCTATATATTAACAGGACTTATTATACTGGAATTATGGATGCAGATATTTAGTCTTACAGTTCAAAAATAATGTTCTTTATTTAGTTCACCTGAACTAAATAAATTCAGGTGAACTAAATAAAGAACATTATTTTTGAACTGTAAGACTAAATATCTGCATCCATAATTCCAGTATAATAAGTCCTGTTAATATATAGATTGTACTAGTAATACAAAATAAATTTTAAAAAGAGTTATAAAAAAAAAGGACAAAAAGGCATAATAGTTAGCTATATTTTCTTTGAGAATGATACCATCAATATTAATCAAAATATCAGTGCTTTTCATTTAATATTTAAAATTAGTTTTGAGACATTGTTATTCAGGAATCAAAATAAATAGCACAAAGTATTTACTCGGATTCTATGATATATCAATATCTGAAATTTTGAATAAGTCAAAAGAAAATATAGTTTTTATCTGTCATATTTTGAAATATTAATATAACTAGTCTTTTGAATATTTTAAAAAAAGAAATTGTATAAATATATTACATATCCAAACTCCAGCAAATATCTGTTAGTTTGTATGGTGAAGAAACATTATTGATGGTCTAAGCCACCCTCATCTGTCTATCTATGTTCATTTTTTAAACTTTGAACAACTTCTCAGACCAAATGCTTTCTTTCTTTCAAAATTTGAAACATCACATGCATTGGAAACATTAACATATTAGATGTTACTCACTGAATAGTCAGTTGTGCTCATAGTTGTGGTTTCTTATATAGGAAGACAATATCCTCATAATTTGGAAAAGTAAACCAAACATGCAAATAGTGCTATATGATCTACAACAACAACCCATATGGCCTGATATCGAGTCTAGAGCAGGCACTTCATTCAGAAGTACATTTTTTTGATATTAAGATAAGAAAAGAAGAGCAGAGCTTACATGTTAGACTTGATGTTGCTTTTCAGAGATTAGTAAAAACTGGTTGAACTCACATAACTGGTTATGTAACAAAGAAACAAAGAATACACAAAGATTATGCTGTCTTGACTCACAGAAGGTTGGCGAAAAGGGAGAGAGTGAAATGAGGTCACCATCTCTAATGGCTCCCCAAGGGGTCAACAGTGCTACCAACCTTTTATTACGTAACAGAAAAACGTTTATAAAATATCACCATGACACAATGCGTTGTATGTAATGATGTGCTATAGCATTTAACAATAATTTCAATAATTTATTCCAACATTATATACTACAGTACATAGGAAACCATAATACCTACTAATACTGACACCAGTGCATTCACATGACCCATTCAAATTTAAAATAGCAGGATTTAGATGATTAATTAATAAAAAGAGCCTCATAAAGAACTTCATCAAGACATTCCAAGCTCAATCACCAGTATAAAAAGCAGCACCCCTGAATTTTAGGAGAATAACCTATAACAAATTATTAGACTATACTACAGAGAAATTGCCAATGTTAACAATGTTTCCTTAGTAGTCAAAAGTAGTCTTACTACATACATATTACTTAGAAACAAAAGAACTCCCTCGTAAAAACCACTCTTTCAGACATATATACCATCCCTTTAATGGATCAAAGAATGGGCAAGACACTACAATACATTAGGGCTACAACAAGACCATTATTCCAACACCTCCAAGAGCACTTAAAGTCCTTTAAAAAAAAAGGCAAACCACCATCTACTCTTTCCACCCTAGCATTAGAAACACCCATCTCGATCAAGTAAGGCTATTACAACTAATGGCAGAAAAATCACATATTTTGCATCTAGTAAAAACTGAACTTTTTAGAGCAGGGCTTCTTAAACTGTTTTTATTCACGACCCCATTTATAATTGTGATTTTGTTCACAACCTAAAAAAATATAAAATAAAGATATATACAAATTTGCAAAAACAATAATGGTGTACTATCACAGTTCACTCTTGTGTTACCATGGAACAGAGACAACTGAATACACTGAAAAGTGACAACACTACACTAGTTCACACTACAGTGTTGCTGAATCGTTGTCTCACTGCACCAGAAGTGACACAAAGCACAACTCACGAAACCAACACAAAGCATGCCATTTTTCAAACTCTGACAAATTATTTTCAAATTTTGAATTAAAATCTCGCGACCCCAAATGGGGTTGCAACCCATAGTTTAAGAAGCCCTGTTTTAGAGCATCAAATGTTAGTATCTTCCTGGCATGGAGAGCCTTGATGGAAATCCAGCATATGGGGATACTATTTAATGAGCAATCAGTGAGCAACATCTATGATAATGTTTCTAACACATGTGATGTTCCAAATTTTGAAAGAAAAGAAAACATTATATCTGAGAAGTTGTTTGAAGTTTGAAACCTGACAATGGTAGCTTGGATTACCAAAACCATTTTTTCTCCATACAAACTAAAAGATATTTGCTGGTGTTTGGGTATATAATATAATTTTTACTGTATCCAATTATAGTGAGATATTAAATGTTAGGAATTTATATTATAAAGCTTTTAGTTATTTAGTATTATGAAATAGAAATTAACAACAATAATCAATAATTTTATCTAAAAATGTTTTCAATTTTTAATCTTGATTTGTTTATTTCATAATTTGCAAATGTATGTAATTTACTTATTAAAACCTTCATAATTTTGCAAATTATGAAAGTTTTAATAAGTAAACTACTAAAATTTCTTCTTAAATCACATATTTAACAATATATCAATATTTAGTAAAAATACTTACTTGTTTCACACTTTCTTCTAACATAAGTCCAAGTTTTTCTCCTAGAGTGTTAAATTCTGGACGTTCTTTAGGATCTTCATGCCAGCATTCCATCATTATTTCATAACTATGCATAAGATCAATATTATTTCATTATATTATCTATAACAAAATTATCGAGCAATTATCACTTACACATTTTTTGGAGCATATTCAGGTCTTTCCATTCTGTAGCCTTCTTTTAGTCTCTTAAAAAACTGTTCATTCATCTCAAATCCTGGATATGGATTGCCACCAAGTGTGAAAATTTCCCACAGAAGAACACCAAATGACCAGCTACAGAAATGAAAATGAGATCCAAAGTAAAGATTAACCAATTAATATCATTTTGAGACTATGTTTTAAAGAATAAAATTCTTACACATCACTCTTTGTTGTGAATATTCTATCCTTTATTGATTCTATAGCCATCCATTTTATTGGTAAAGGACCCTAAATATATAATACAAAAAAAGGCCATTTATCAAAAATAATTTTTTCTTATAATCCTGGGAATAATGGCTTTTTTTATCATGTCCCTTAACAAATAATTTATATATTCCTTAACTTAAACAACACCTTAAATACTTTTTTCAGCATGACTTTATTCAGGAGTGGTTTACAGGTTAAACTGTACTTGTGAAAAAAAAAGTATATTTTATAGAAGAGACTAAAAGGCCATTGAAAGCATGATTGAAAGAACACAATGAGGCCATAAGATAAAAATACTGTATTGCCAGTCTCCATAAACAATACATTGTGAAAAGATAACTGCATTATTGATAGAAATAATATAAAANGTACGAAAAAATATATTAATTTATCCCGTGTTGAAATTTTTCTCCGTTGCGTGTCGCTTCGCGTTGAATTTTCGTCGATGTTAAGCCTAACGAAGACTATTGTATCGTTAAAAATTATTTTTTTATTTTGTACAAACAAAATAAATATATTGAAAAATATAAAAACAATAAAAAATTATACTTCAGAAGTTAATTTAGTATCAAAAACGTAAAATATTTGAGTAGCCGAAGACATAGCCAAAGATTACAGCGCCACAGCACTGGTGAAAATTTAAATTTGTCGACTGGAATTCCTTCGGATAAATGACGCTTTACTGTATATGTAAACACTATTTCATGATAAAAATTCAGGCCAGGATTCATGAAATGTCATATTGCAACTTAAGATGAATGCTCATCATAATTTGCAATACAATAAAATTTGGTATTCACAAAACTTGTCATAACTGAAAATATTGTAAATAAGCATCATTATATATGAATAGAGTGGGTTGTTATAAGTCAAGACAATTCAAGCTGGCTGATGAGAATTTAGCTTTCTTGATCAACGAATTACACAGTTCATTAAAAATTTATCATTTGTTTCATCTGTCAATCGAAGACATTTTGTTAATGGATTTAATCTAATACTATCAAATGTCAAGGGATACATGTATAGCATACTATTCTCTTAATCATGTTAAAATTATAAACAGAATTGTTATAATCAATTATAGAAATTTTACTAGCCTTTTCTTTTTAAAACGTTTTTGTAATCTCTCTTTTCATATATGTCAGATTTCATCTATGCTTCTACATACTTACTAACATTATTCATGTCTTTGCAAATTAGGCCTAATCTCCAATAATTACTTTTTCCATGAGAAGTAACAGTTGGATCTATCCTCCTTTCTATTATTATTTTTTTATTTTTTTTATTCCATCTATCAACACCTGTATTTCAGAAGAAGGAAAATGACACTTTTTTTCCTCTCTTCCATTTTATCACTAAAACTCACATCGAAGACAACTTGTGCCATTTGAAAGTTCCCGGACTGTATTTTTATTGGACGAAACAGTATACTCTCAAAATCAGATCACTGATATTCTGTTGTAAATAGTAAATCTGGTTATGATGACCTTTGTAATTTTCAGATATGATATGTTGTAAATGATGGGAATTCTGAAGATTTTAAGTGATTTGCAATTTTTAACTTCAATTTTTTTGTTTAATTCTGAGTATTGCACCTTACTGTTAGGTATATGTCATTCATTGAGGATGCACTATAACCTCACCAATTTTGATCAAACTTGGTGACCTGAAGGTCATGCCATCCCTCATAAAGGTTCCAAAATTTTGCAAGTCTAAAATAAAGCATAATAAATCTATTATTATAAAATCCAGAAATACATATATAAGTATAAACTGCTAGTATACACCTACAAACAATTTATTTTACAACTTAGAGTAAACTATATTTTTTTAAATTTTAGTTGGTAGTTTGATTTAGTTTTTTTAACTACATATTTTGTAATTGAATTTGCTGTACATGTACGATACTAAGCATAAGGTCCCACAAAATTTACGATGAACTTTTCATGGAATGTAGAAGCCCTTTAAAACATGAAGTCAAGTCTCAAAATGTACCAAACCTGCCTTGTGCTGACCCTGGACTTAACAATAGTAGAGAAAAAGCTGCTCAAGATATAAATATTATTGAACTAAAAGCATTATTATTGACAAGATGAATCAACAGTAAAAAATTTGTTCTTATGTAATTTTGATATTTATTAAATTATAAGGAATAAAAGATATTATCATGTACTGTATATGATACATAAACTATAAAAAGTATATGGAAAGAGTATAAATGTTTTGAAAAATGCTAAACAAATGGAGTCTGATAGATGTCTCACAATTCTCTGATACATAAACCACAGTCCATTTCCCTGCAGGGATAATCATTATCAGTCCACTGATGGATATTTATGATACATAAAGGAGAATTTATCTCCTTTATGCTTTCTTTTTCTTTAGCTGTCTTGTTGATCATAATTTCACAAATGTATTTAATTTAATCTTTCTTTGCTAATCACTATTCTTCATTCTAATATAACTTTTTTTAATCCACCTCTTATCTGAATATCTGATGGATAGTCTATCTTCCTTTTTTGATAATTTTTTTTCAATATTAAGATCTGTCTATAGTAATCTTACCTTTTTAAGTTATATGTATGTATGTATAGATTAGATTAGATATATACAGAAATTGCACATTCATTATGATGATTAATAATAAATATAAATATCTGAATAGACATTGTGATGTATGTAATAAAATCTAAAAATAAAACATTAAAATTATTATTTAATGACAGTTGAAAAAAAAGACAAAAAATAAATTTATAAAACAGTATTGCTATGTTAACAGTATTTTAGCATATGCAAGACTCTTATTTTTGAATAGTGGACAGATATCATTCATTACTCATTAACCACTTACAATGAATATTAAGTGGGTAAATTGAACCAGGTATTATATTTGATATTCATTATTCAATTGCTGTTTATTGTATATAAATCATTTTATTTATGTTTCATATTAGACATTAATTTTCTTTACTGTTTTAGGAGTAAAGAAATAAAAAAGTGAACTGTAAGACAAAATTTAAAAAATGTAAAGGCTGTTGAAATTTTTCTCTCTAATGAATGATAATTTTTTAATTGAATTATGTAGTATGGTATTCTCCATCAGTCATAACGTTATTTAGTATTTGATAATACAGCAGAAATTAAAACAAAAGAGTGAAAAAATTGTTTACGGACTATATACAGTGGTAAAAAAGCGCACTATTTATTTATTATTTTTATCTAATAGTGTTTTATAACATTTCTTTTAGAAATTAATATTTATAAATACTGAGCACAAAACTAATAGATAATTATTATTTGCTTATTTCTATCATGTCTTTAATAGACACAAAATATGCAATCAGCAAATAATATACTGTATTTGCTGGCATGTAAGATACATCCCATTTTCAGACAGTGTTTTTCGAGGAAAAAAGTGTCTTATATACCAACAAATATGATAATTGCCAAATTCAGAAAATTTTGAATTTGGATTAAAAATTATCATTGTTTTTTTGAGGGATATCAATGTAAAAGTTATGCTTGTAATAATGTCATTTGATAAATAAGTCAAATTTGTCAGCAACTATTGAATCAAATTGATTTGGTGATATAGAAATGGGCTGGTTTCTCAAAAGTTGGTAACTATAATTTAAATCCTTCATCTAACAATTGCCATGTTTTGATTTTTGATATGGCTGTGCAAATTGAGAAAGTAGTATGCTGTACATTTAGGATTATTTTTGTTTAAAAAATTATTTAATTCATAGACTTGAGATGTGAAGAATGGAGATGAGGATTTTTATAATAGCAAGGATGATAACTGTTGCTCAATTTAATATAATATAATAAATTTTATGCAGATTAAACTACATTGATTCTTTGTTATTGAAATAATGAATTAAACAATATACAAAATTTCTGAATCTGTAAATTCAAATATACATGATAGTAATGTTTTGTTTTTTTAATTCTTTTCTGCCTTGTCCACACTAAGAGGACCTTTTTAGCAAATCCATTATGGGTTTGGTTAGGCTTGCAGTATAGTGGCCAGATGTTGAGGGATGGGGGTCAACATTTCTGGACAGATCACCCCTCAAAAAATTCTTGGGGTTTTTCAACTGTCTGGATTAGATCCAGGTCCTCCAGTGCAATAGGCTGCCACCTTAACTACTTGCCATCTGCCATCTAATATTAAAGTATCATATATTTTTAATAATATATAAATTACCAACTGTAATTCAATTTGTAAAATATTTTAAGAATAATAATACTTTTGATAGAGTTCTAATAATAATTAGTGATTTATTATGAAATCTAGTCATTGTAAACTTGATTTATTATCCATGTATTAAATTATTGTTTTATATATACAATACATATTTACTGTTATTTATCAAATTTTATATAAAAATGACACATTTCTTAAATTTTATTACATATGTGTTTATGTGCTCAATACTTATAATTTTGGAGTACTTAATAATAATAATAAAGTTTATGTAAGTATAATAAAGAAAATAAAATTGCAATATGTATGAATTTATATCGTATATTGGTTATTTCAAGATAATCTTATTGTCTCAATTTGAGCTAAAGAAAGTTTTGTTGAGTGGATTATTTATCTTAACATACATAAACAAATAAGCATCAAGCCAAATGAATATCAAATTTGAACTGGGCTTCATTACAAATTACTCATTATCTTAATACCTTCATAAATGTAGAACATTAAGCTAAATAAAAAGATCATATCGTTATTTTTAATTATAATATACAATTAACTTTACATATCTGAATGTTTTCTGTGTTAATAAGTTCTATTGCTTTAATGGAATTTATTAATTAATTCATCAGAAATCCAAATATTGAATGATTTTCAAGCAATAGTTTGTAAATATTCAAAAACTAGCCTTATACAACATAAGAATCATCAGCCAAATGACTGGAATCATTCATAATACTTTGTGGTCAAAATAGAAATGAAATTACTCTGTATGTTGTAGTTGATGCAGTGTGTGGTAGTGAGGTAATGAAAAGAAACTGCTTGGTTGGAATAGAGTTTAATATACACTATACACGGTAAATGTACAAAAGAACAAGAAGGAGGTCTACATATAACAGGGTCTTCTTATATATGGAAAGATCTAAGTGCCACCTGGAATTCCCTAAAAGAGTACCACGATACACTACCCAACAAATTATTTTCACTCATTTTGACTATCCACAGTAATGTTTTCACCATCTATATAATGAACAAAATTGAGTTTGGCCATATGATCCAATGACCACAGTGTTGCCAAATGCTGCATGTCAATAAATCACAATGGCTACATTCAACATATTGAACTG